TACTGGGCTCTGTAAATATCGGCGAAACATTTCGACGAATATCTGAAGTTTGGGGATACGCACAGGCCTAAAACTTGGAGAAGTGGCTTATTTAGTTATCTTCTATAACATCATAATTTCATAGCTTTTTCTACTGCATGGTTTTTGATTTATTTTTTTATTGCGTGACAGTGAAAACGATCTATTAGTCACCAAAAAAGTTCGTTTTTGCTCTTTTTTGTAGAGACCCCGCTGTACAGTCCTCGTACAGATATTTTTCTCCAGTACAGCCCTCGCACTTGGGATGTGATGGGTTCAAATATCTTTCAACTCAGAAAATCAAGTTAGATATTACAGTAGAACTCCGCCTTACGGTCACCTCGATATTACGGCCACTTCGTTTTGTCCCGGCGAAACGCCCATATACTCTCTGATGACAAAACCCCATTAATGCGACAGATCATTTGAACTAAACACATTCGCGGTCGAGTGTAGATCGATACTCTCGATCGATACCCTCGGTTGAAGTCTCGATCAGTACTCGATCGACATCCCGATCGATACTCGGTCGACGCTTTATCGACACTTGATCAACAGTCGGTCGATAGTCGGCGAGTGTCAACCGACTCATATGAATCGATCGAAAATTAGTCGACTCTCGACCGACCGTGGACTGAGATGTCGATGGAGTGGCGATGGAGTGTCAACCGAGGTGTCGATGGAGTGTTGATCGAGTATCGATCGAGGGGATCGATGGAGGATATTGATCGACATTCGACTGCGGATGCCTTTAGTGCACATGATCCAATGTGGCCACCCCGTTAATATGGCCAACGGCCACATTCTAAAATCACAACCTGTATAATCTTTAATAATTTTACCCCGTTTATACGGCCACTCAACCAGCTATGTTTATCTTTCCATTGTTAATACTGTGTGCACTGATTCAAGTTTCAATTCTTAAAAAAATCATATCTGAATTCCGGATGCTTATCGAGAACAGCTGTTTAGAAGTGCAATTGTGATACAATTTGGATCAGTCACTTAATTTAGACCAGTCATGAGGTTTGACCCTACCCCGTTAATACGGCCACATTTTCATGGCCTGTTGGTCACCATATTGACAGGATTTGACTGCAATTCGTTCGAGAGAAACATTTTTAATTCGTAGAATTAATAGTCCCCTAGCTTCGGGCTGGCCTAGAATGCTGAGAGAATACTAATGGTAATTGTGTATCCTACCTTATGGCTATTATTTGGCGGGTATCTGTGTAAAATAAAACAAATTTAACAACATAAGATGCTAAGAGGGAATCCATGCACCAGACGTTGAGTAACAAGTGGACAAAAACTTTGTAACAAGATTATTTACATTGTATTGTAAACTTCTGTGCGACTGTTTTAAAAATCTTCACAAAAGAAATCATTTCTAACAACACCAGATGTCGAAAACATATTTTGAAGTTCATATGAAACACTTGAAAGTACTGGTGAAATGACACTGATGATGAAATTTCACCTGTGTTTGCAAAATTTCTCTAAACTTTGAAATTCATTTCCTCGAGTTCCCATGGGAAATTGTTTTTGGTGTTAATCCAGGCAACTGCTTAAATCTTTAGCTTTTAGAAAATGCAAAAAGGACTGTAATATACTTAAATTTATTCTGGTATAAGGTCTTTGTCCACTTAAAACTGAAATTGCTCGATTTCCTATCGGATTTCGACTTAACTTCTCACATTTAAAAGAAATTAACGGAAAAACAAAGAAACCTGTAAGAACGAAAGAAAGTACGAATGAAAAGAAGGAAGAACCAGAGAGAAAACCGAAATTAACAATTTGTAACTCTACCTGGTTTTTTATTTATAAGTTCTTTCAGAGTGTCGATGTTTTCTTTCCAGCGGTGAAACTGTTGTGTGTTAACAAACAGTATTGACTGCTCTAGTTCATAATTAAAGATTTCTTTTCCTAACGGAAGCATCCAGACATCTAGAACTACCCCACATCTAAAAACAACATAAATAAGAAAATGAAAGACAAACAAACATTACATAAATGTCAAACCTCCACTAACGGCCATCTCTCTACAACGGCCACCTCTCTACAACAGCAACGGCCACTAAAAGTCGTCCCAACCTTCCAAAATGACCTCTTGACATCAGCCAGTTTATGAATCAACGACTGAACGGAATGGTTTATACATGTACAAAATTCCATTCTTTTTTATTGTAATTTAAGATCATCAAACTCGATCCATACCGCGCGTCGTTGGCCTCTGTTTCTGTTTACTGTCTGTTGCATAGATACATTTTGATTTATATTTGCTAAAATAGGTATTTTTTGACCAAAAATGTTGCAACCCCCGCCCAAAAAACAGGTGTCATATTACACCACTACTCGCCTCCCCATAACGGCCATCTCTCTACTACAGCCACTTTCCTCTGTCTCCAAGGTGGCCCGTTCTGGTATATAGAGAGGTTTGACTGTAATTTAGAACAAGAGTTTGTTGTTTGTTCAAGTGACAGCACACATAACATTTAATTTGCCCATCAAATAACAATTTTGAAAGGATCTGGCAGGTAAGGAATCACATAAATTTAAAAGGGTAGCTGCTGAGATTTATTTATACTACATCAGGCCTGGATGATCTGAAACAAACGTACAGCTTGGTTTTACCAGTTATTGCCACTTTCCCTTAACGACAAGCCAATTAACAAATGGATGTCAGTTTTTTATGTGTCTGTCCTCTTATTTACTGTGTCATAACATTTTCAAAGTGGCTGTGGAACCACGAGCCACAGGTGAGTGGTTCCGCAGTAAACTTTGACAATGTTATGATGAAATTTATCATCAATAAGAAGACAGACGCATAAAAAAACTGACATCAATTTGTTTTTCTACAATAACAAGACCCCAAAATGGTGAAATGGCAGGAATGAGGGGAAAAGACGCTGTAAACTTGCCATAAACAAAGATAAGTGAATAATAGTTTTAGTCAAAATGACGCAAACATTGTCAATAGCTTTTCTCTTTACTTAAAAAAGTCCATAAAATCTCATTGGTTAAAAAGTTGACAGTTTAACAGCTGAAAAGTGAACTTGAAAGCTTGTATAAGTTAAAATTTTATCCATCTGTACTCTTATTGATGATAAAAATGAGCCAATCAGGGTGCCAGAAATTAGACAGTTATTGTAAAAATTACATTCGAGGTCATTTCTAGCCTACATAGCAGACGTCTCCTTCCCATTTTGCAGACAGGAAAATCGAGCAAGTGATCAAGGAAACGAGTGCGCCTGGGGTGAGGAAAAAAAATGGCAAGAAGTGGGGAGGGGGTGAGCAAAAAACGAAGGAGAAGGGAGGTACTTTCACAGTGTTGTCATAATTAGAAGAGTGCTGATTTGCTAGGGGTCGATACTCTTATTTCAAATTTTTTTTAGTAACAAATGTTTGCCACTCTGAACTTTATATCGGTGTTACTAATTAGGTTACCTAAATCGCTTGTCTTTTGCTAATGACATGACAGTCGTGGCACCTCCAAATGAATGACCCACAATCGCAACCTTGTTTAAGTCCAATCTTCCCTTGAAAGGAAAACCAGTCCAGTTAGTAACCAGGGTTGGGGACCCAAACATGTTAAATGTTGTAGGCAAAAATACAGACAACAACAAGCACAACAATAACATCCCCTTCACATATAATTGTCTGTTCACGTAGTAGTCTCCATTGGATCACCCCACCCCATCCCAAAAGATATTAATACCAACAACACCACCAATAAACGAAGACAAACAAACAAACAAACAAACAAAGCAAACAAATAAAAAGACAGCAAAAAATAAAATACTGTGAGTGTGAAGAGAATCATTCAAAGAAACTATCCTCTATCTAACAGCCGCACCCCAAGGGGGGGGGGGGGGGCGTGGGCTCACCCTCAGGGGGCACTCAGGTATAAAAGTGAGAGAGAGATTCAAAGACCCTTCTTGGGGTTTAAAATTTAGGATCTGAAGACCTTTCTGGGTTAAAAATTCTGGTAATATGAATCACATCAACAAAACCAAATACATGTTCATTAAAATTGTAATATATTTATTTATTAATTAAAACTCAGTTGAACTAAATATTTGAAATAAACAATAGAATAAACATACAAACAAATAAGAAATACCTTAAGCTGTTGCAAGACAGTATTATCTTTTAACAAATTTTTAGGACAATCTCCTGAGTGGATCTTTTCAAGAATATTATGAGCATTTATACATTCAGTTGCTCGTTTATGAACCTAAGGAAAGTGAGAGAAACAATGAAAGTTGGCATCAGAATACACATTGAAGCAGGATACTGCATTATCTCCATACCCATTAGTAATCAAAAAACAGAAACTGCTGGTACAATTGTAACCCGAATTCTGATCATTTAATGTTCTTTTTAATGTCCCAGCATCATTATATTCCACTAGCCAAAGATAACATTTAACAAACCTGACTGTTTCTAAATTCAAACTCATTATAACTTGGTTGTAGTCTGTGATATTTTATCCACTCTTCTACCATCTCGTCATCTCCTTCTCTTTCCTTTAGAACATATGTTGCAGATGCTGACTCGTCTCTGGAGATTGAGAAAAAAGAAAGAGATGCCAATATCATGTGACATAAATTTTGTTTGTATTGGAATCTGGTATTGACAATTAATTAAAAGTTCATTTAAATTTTTAGTAGTCCGATGATGGTGTTATGCAACTTTAAAGTACCTCTACCTGCGTTCTATCATCAATACTGCTCTCTCATTGGCTATGCTACTCTCTACATATCCTGTGATAGATAGTGAGTAGCGTAGCAGTGTGCACTCGTTAACAAAATGACGGCTGCCCCTTGGCATTTTCGAAGTGTCTGTGAAGAGGATTTAGATGAAGTTTTGAATGGCTGGGAGATCTATACTAAAACAGTTAGATTATTTGTTCTCGATTTCTATGCGTGATAGTTGACTCGGGCTGTGCCCTTGTCAACTATCACACGATAGAAATCTCGAGCTCATAATCTAATTGCTCAATAGAAACACTTGTGAAAGTTTGGGAGCACTCGAAAAAGCTGTGGAAACACTCGCCTCCAACTACTGTTCCCCCAGCATTTCTCCATGGTTCTCCCAAACTTCCACTCATGTTTCTATATATAACTCGATAGAAACACGGTACAACTTTTCTATTTCTTAAATAAGAAAGCTCTACCCAACCACTCCTCAGCAAGGCTTACTAGTATCCAGTATGTCCAGGTTGCAATTTGTTCTGCTAAATATTACATGTATCTTAAAGTGCTAATAAGAATGTGGAAAATGAAGCATTGTTAAGTTGTCAAGGCTTATGACAATGTTGAGGTCATACCTATGTTCCACGCATGCCACTAAGCAGCCTTGAGAAGCCAGCTCACAGCAGTAGGTACTGTAAATGAGTCTGTTACCGCCCAAACCATGTGAAAATACTACACAGGGCAATGATTGACCCTCCAAATTATCACCAGCAGGTTTATAAAGAGGTGCATTGTATACTGCAGGAATATGCAAGCTCCCTACAATTACAATTTTAAATAAAAGATGATTTAATTTTGTCAATGAATTGATGATAATGAGTTTATGATAATAAGCTGAGAGTAATAAATAAGTTGATAATAAATAATGTTGCCGGGAAATATCCACACTCCACCACAGGGGGTTTCTGGGTTTAAAAGCCTCTCACCGGCCCCTCAGGAAATTCCAGGTTAGGTTTATACTGCCTTTCAAAAGTTTCGACCTTAAAGCCCCTGCCCCCCTTGAATTTGCAATGCCCCTACATAGGGTGGGTATGGGCAGTTTCTGCTAGGAAACAAACAAATATGGTATATGTGGTAACACTTGACACTTGTAATGGTTGCTTGGTTTGATGTTTTGATGTGAGATTTAATTGAGACAATGGGAGAATCCTTGCTGACGTCATTGTTTACATTTTTCTTCATTAACATATGACTTTGGGCAGAGAACACATCACGCTAGACACGAATTGACCATGGTATACTGAGACATGTTGCATAACTATTTTATACCACTGATGCCACAGGAAATACAGTGGCCAATACAGCACAAGATGGGAAACATGGCTGTAATACCGTTGATTTTACCATGGCTTTCCTGTATTGTGATTGGCTATATTTTCTATGGTATGTTATAAATCATGTAAGGCCCTGGTACGAGGGTGGACACAAGTCAACATGAGTTTAAAAATATACCAACCAACAGTCCAATAAAACACTCTTCCTAAAAGCCACACAGGAAGTTTCATAAAGTTAATGAGCCCTGAGGTGTATTCTTGACGAGGTATCCAGAAGCAAGTCTCCGATTCATCCAACGTCCAGGCGGTCTTCTCCGATGGATAGAAGAAACGGATGAAACTACCTGCATCTGTTGTGACACCGGCAGAATCATCTTTGGCGCACATAAAATCCATGCAACCCACAGAAAACGGCCCCGTACAGTCTTCGAGCTTTGTTTTCACTCTCCAAAATGAAGACCAAGAGGACATTTTTCTCCTAAGCATGAAGTTCCAAGCGCAATTTTAAAAGTTATCAGTCACTCAGTTACGCAAGCAGAGGATGTGTCAGTGAATGTGAATTTGTGCAAGGCGCCGCAACCTTGTCGCGTAAGACTGGAAACTACTGGAATATTGTCAGGAGAACTTGCATGACCTTTAAAAGTATTAATTTCCGGGGAAAACATCAAGAAAGCGATGTCTGATGAGGAACATCGTCCACTACGGCGGAGTGAATCCACATTGACCACATCGGAAAGAATAGATTTCCAACTTGAGGTGTAGTATATTGACTAAAATCACCTTAAATAATATTTCTTGATCTTCATTTCGTTCGATAATACCTTATGCGTACCTTGTGTCGTTAACATCGAGGTCTTCTTTGTAATGTTGACCTTTAGCCAACATCTGTGTTTTCAACCAAATGGGGCCTTGTTCTGTCATGTCTTGGATGCGTTGTTGGAACTGGGAACATCTGGAGATTTCCTCGAATAGTGGCAAACAACAGCGGAGATAAAGGTAAAAATGATCACTTTTTAGTATAAAGCTAAGTTGCATAATATGCTTAACATACTTTCGTCAGTTCGGCTAGTCTGCACTGTACACGGGATCTCGGTATTATTTATTAAAGCTGCTAATGGGCTCTTTCACGTTCTGCCCGTTCGGAGATAATTTTACAGTCTTACGAAGCTCGCACCACCCGAGGAGATACGAGGCAGCTGTTCTTTGTTTACCTGCCGGGGTGGGGTGCGGGCGCAGTGAGTGGTGCGATTTAGAAACGGGGTGAATTCGAAGAAACACGTTGATACAAATATGGAAACTTCTCTACCTTGCCACGAATTATCATGCACAGTGGCTTTAATACAAATGTGCTGAAGAGAATATGGAATAGACTCATTTTGGTCGGACTAGTTCAGCTGAAAGAAGATAAGACTACTTAAAATCCACCAAATATTTTCGCTCGCGTACGCTTGGCCTAAGCACGTCACGTGACCAAATATTCCCGAGCCAAAACTGGGGAATATCTGAGAATATTCCCCAATTTTCAAAACTGTACGTGTTGCGAAAAAGATTTGAAGGATAATAAACACAATAGCCTCCATTTGGCGTCAAAATATATGCTCCGGATATTTGTACTTGGACATTATCTGTTCCTTGAAGCTCACAGTTTTCCTTGAGCTATGCTCTTGGAAAACTGTTCACTTCTTGGAACAGATAATGTCCGTGGACTAATATCCTAGCACATTTTTGTGCCAAATGGGGGCTATTGTTTACATAGCCTGGGGGTGTGTGTGGGNGGGGGGGGGGGGGGGGGGGGGGTTGAAGTTTGGGGAAAGGGTGAAATTTGCCTACAAAATCTGACAGGACTGTTGATTGCTTTTAGGGGGTAAAATTTGACAAACTGTACTGGTTACATATCAGTCTGCAGAGTTGGACAAAAAGTAATTGTCAGTTAATTTGTTGCCTTCAAATTGGCACCCCTTAAGGGTGAAAATAAATTTGAATCATGCCCACAAAACATGGTTCTGACACCTTTTTGGTTTCTTTTCAACAGTTCAACAAGCACTCCTGCAGGCTTTTAGCCAGATGGGTGTCCAGGCATCCTGGGGAAGGCCACTTTTTGAAGAAAATTGTTTTATTTTTTCCTAGGTTACCTTAGAAAGTTGTTCATTTGAGCAGGCCCTATAGCACACTTTTGATGCCCACTTTTCAAATCCTGGCTAAAAGCCTGCACCCCTGTCTTGTATATCAGGCACTTGAATTTTAAAATATCATCAAGACATGTCTGGATTTTTATATATGTCATATATGAGGGGTCATTATAACATAGTACAGTCAAACCTCGATTATCTGGATTCCTCGAGTATCTGGACTTTTTCTCTAGTCCCAGTTTTGTCATGAATATTTATTAGTCACAATCAAGATCTGTAGCAATATTCTTTTAAAAACTATAACATTGAAATGTGCAGTCAAAAGCGAGTTTGTTTTGCTTTTAAAGAGCAAAAGCAGTGCTCACACATGTAACTAATGAAGAACACTCGAATGAATTCTGATTGGCTCAGAGTTGAGTGGTTCAAGATGTACAGTAGATCATATTTTTTACCAAACGATTTTTAAAAGTGTTGTTTCACGATTAAATGTTGCTTTATTTAAACAGTTTTATTCTTCATTAATATTCATATTTTTGATTATCCGGACCCTCGATTATCTGGGCTACCGATACTTTGTCTAGTCCTAATGAGTCAGGATGATCGAGGTTTGACTGTAATGCATTGTTGCTGTTGATCCAGGTGGACTTCAGTTTTTATTGGTGTGGATTTTATTCCTTGGACTGTGGTCATTACCAGTGATTCTCATTGAGTATTCTGTTGGTCGCTTTACAAGAAAGGCTCCAGTGAAATCATTCCGACTACTGCTGGGACCCTGGTCATTATGGTGTGGTGGGTGGATGGTAACCGTTGTTATTTTTATCGCGTAAGTGCTTGTATATGCATGTCATTCTACATTGTAAATAATCGGTGATGGATGGCATTCAAAATGGCACACTGGAATTATCAGGTGTTTCTCTTAACTTGTGATGACTATTTTACGATGCATACCGTAAATCCTCGATTTAGTGCCCCGCATCCAATAAGCGCCAGCATCCAATAAGTGCCCCGCATCCAATAAGTGCTCAGCTTTTTTTGTTCATAAACAGCTTATGCTGTTGTTTACACACAGATGAGGCATTAAAAACTGATCGTGGCAGGCCATGATTTGGGAAAAATTGAATAAGTGCCCTTGCCCCCCTCGATTAAGTGCCCCCTCTAATGAGCACCTCCCCGTCTTCCACTAAATTTGAAATAAGCGCCCCGGGTGCTAATTCAAGGATTTACGGTACACACTTAGACACGTTACTGCATTTAGAAATAAATGTAAATGTAAAACCGATCTGCTAGAAGCATTAGGCTAATCTAGACGGATGAGTTACATCTTGTTATGTAAACTGATAGCAGGCACTGAAAATAATACTTGTAATAAACTCAGTAGAAATGCAGAGTGAGCTTTCTTTTGCTTTTAATGTAATAATGATGCAAGCAAAGATAATGTACACAATGATGATTCTTAAACATTAAAACTTTTTTTTTTTAAAGAAGTAGAAAACTTCTTGGTGTTTCAGATAATCTGTTGTTTTAGTGGAAATTCCTCAACCTGGTTGGTTCTCCTATTGTTGTCTTTACATTGCCTGTCAGAGCCACAATTATTGAAAAGGAGTGCTTCCTAGAAAGTGGCACTAATGAAATTAAATTGTGAGCAGAAGTTTAATTGATACATTTAAATGATTATCAAATTTACTAATAATATTAAATTTTTATTTACTATACCTGTTCTTTGATTGTTTTTAGGTCATACTATTCTGTTGTGGTTGGGTGGTGTTTCTATTATCTCTTTCACTCCATTTTTTATCATCTGCCCAAATCAACGGAAGAAAGCTCTTCAATTTGGAATGAACTACAGGTGATGTACAGTAAAATAAGTCCCAGTTCAGACGTTGTGCTTCTGCCATGCTGAACTAAATTCAGGAATTAAGTTCAACAAAAGCATGGCAGGAGCACAGTGTCTGAATCAATTTTTGAATTAAGTTGGGGAGGCATGTATTTTTTGGCAAGATTGCATTCCCAGGGGGAGTTGGGAGGAGAATTGTTACGTGGCATCAGTAAATCCTGAATTTGGTTTGACTCTGGCATGGCGGCTGAATCAGAGTTGTTTTCCTGCCAGGCTACAGTCGAACCAAATTACAATTACTCTAACTTTGGCACGGCAGAAGCGCAACATCTGAACTGGGCACTCAAACCGTGAACACTCAAGAATGACTAATGGACAATTCACAGACACTTTAATAAACCTGCTTGTTTCTTTAATTAGTTGTTTAATTTATTTTGCTTTTCTCAATATTTTGCATGGCACAGTTCTTTTTACCATTTTTTTTTTCATTATTTCATAGAAATAGCGCAATGAAAGTAATAAATATTATTATTATTATTATTATTATTTTCATTACAGAGTCATGATTGGCTTCCCATTGTCCTCCTGTTTTTAAGTCTGTTGCTGGCTGGTTTCTCAGTGACAAGAGCAGTGACTTCCATTGAACGAGTGAACAACGTCATGATGCCGCTGTTGCTTCTTGTATTATTAGTGTCTTTTTATTGGTCCCTGACCTTGAAATATGCATCACATGGAATCACTTATCTATTTACACCTGACTGGGGTTAGTTACAACATTACTCAGGCAGTGGTTTGTTAACTGTGCAGAAAAGCTCTTGGGGTGGGCTGACTGTGCTAAGAAATTCTTGGGAGGGCAGGCTGCATGTGGGGAGAGAGTAAATAAAACCTTGGGAGGGACCCTCTGTAAAAATAGAGAAACCTGTGTGTTAGTTTGAATGGGTATTTTAATTGCTCTTCAGTAGTCATTGATGTGTTCCCTTGGCGGATTAATGCAGCTGACATCCCCTTCCACTTGCAAAAAGGTCAGCTGGCATATATCACAAAGGCATTTGTGCAATCAAGTTAAAAATGGCAGGACAAGTACAAAAAATGCTGATGTAACTAATAAGACGACAGTAACATTAACTTTCAGTCTGGTACAGGAATTAAGTGTTGAAATATTTCCTATGTATATAGGGTTTGCATAACTTTCGAGAATTCTCTTAACCCCCCAAGGGTTTGGATGAGACTATGTAAACACTGAAAAAGTTGTCTATTGCATTTATAAAATATTCTCAAGAATATACGTACGCGCGAATCTAAAACGTTACAGTTATGTTCACATAATTACTCTCATCTAAACACACCTATCAACCATTGGGAGCGCAAGTAGCATCTCAGTCATTTTATAATTCCAGATGATGACCGTGATTTAGGGTACGTTGCAATTGTCTCACGTGACGATTTTGTTTCGTTGCCTTTTTTCCATCAGCTGAATTGGAAAACCTTCGACTGTGGGTGGATGCTGCTTCTCAAAACGCTTGGGACACTGGTAAGAATAGAATGATATATACAGTGTATTATTCACTGATCGAACGTTTTCTGACGCGGTCTGAAGTCTAATGTGTAACACAATCGATTAAAGGAGCTCGGTCGCGGTATTTTGAGTTATGTTAGCCACTTAAAAAATGACCTTTAAATTGAAGGAACCTGAAAATAGTAGTTTAACAAGATAGAAGAACACCAAAGAGATAATAATAAAACATAAAGGAACAAGGGTGGTTAAGAATGGAGAAGATTAACACGGATTACAAACGATGAATTTGAAAAATTTAGGCGAAACTTTTTGGGACGCGCGAACCGTGACTTGGCTCCTTTAACGTCTCATTGGAAACATGAAATAAAGTTTACTTTTATTAATATAGGATAGGTCAGTGTAAGACATGAAAAAGACAACTACTTCATTGGCAAATTTTAATTTTTCGGGCTTTGTCATTTATTTCCGGCAAAAGAATTAGGCTTCTATACAGGAAACAATATATGAAAAAATGTTTTAAAACAAATTCACGCAAAATAGTCAGTACCCCTTTTTTCGCGATACAATGCCCTGCTCAGGGCTTGAAACTAGACCGCTCGACCCAGTCCAGCCGGCTAACAAAGGTCACACGCCTTTCACTTTGTGTACAGTAATAGACTCAAATCGTCGAAAAATTAAGAACTTTCAACCTCAAGTAAAAATTATGCATTATGTTTAAAATAGTGTAATTCAAATGGTGGCTTGGTGTGAAATGACCGCAAATGTTTTCTCTGTGTCGAATTATATCTAGATATATATATATTTTTTATCTTCCTATTTGAAAACCTTTCTTCACATTTGTAATAGGCGCTGGATCAGGGTTGCTTTTGACGTACGCAACTTACATGTCACGACGAAATAGTGTTGTCAAGCTAGGAATTCTTCTTCCAGTTTGTAATAATTTAATCAGGTGAACACAACTTAGTTCCTTTACTATGTGTGCTGTTTACAGACTAGGCAGTGCATGTTGTGTGTAGAACTCATTTCCGATTTGACTTAAGCCTCTTTATCAAAGCGAGGCCTGGTGCACAACCATTCATATGAAAATGAGTTTAATTTGCATGCGAATAAAATCTCATTTTCATGTGAAAGGGTGGGCACGAAGACTCGCTTTGAGAAAGAGGCTTAAGGTAATTCGGAAATGGCTTGTTGGCGTGAAATGTTGGTTGTAATGGAAGTGACGTTTTACGATAGATTTGTTACTTTAATGGACTACTGCACGAGTCGCAAACAACTTGAATAAAGTTATGCTGATTTTAGTTGTTTTTGGTCATTTTTCAGTACTTGGAACCATTTTTTTTTTAAAAGCTGACGTTAAAGTAAATACCACGCTTCCAAAGTCAATAAACGACAGAATGTGAAGTAAATAAGTTTCTTGTCGCCAATTATCCGGTACTTTCTTAATGTTGTGTATTTGCTTTCGCTGTTTTCTTTCACCAGCTTGCTGAGCGCCATAACCCTCTACTCAACGGTCTTTTCAACCAAGGTGGAAGAAGGTGTCAACCAAACAGAAATCGCGCGGCTGTTAAGAGAGGATGGCTATGCCAACACTGGATTGACATTTCGTTGGTAGGTTTCAGTAAGAAACGATCAAGGCTCGATCTCCGCCGCTCTCTCCTGTCTGGTCTACGTTCCTATCCGAGAAGACACTTCGGGGAGGATCGCGGGCTCCTTTCCAGAACAACGGCTGATAATCGAGCCTATGATCTAGAACAAGGCTAATCAAGTCAAATTTATTGATCTAATTCAACTCGCTAGTAAACAGATTACAGTATGGCCGGATAGATCATCACTTTAATACTGAGTAAAGAACAGATGAGAGGTGAGACGAGAGCTAACGAGAATTCAATCGCCTCTCGCCTTCGTTTAATTTGATTGCGCACCGAGGATAGTTGAGAAAAATTGAACTAAACAGTCGTTCAACTTTCATCAACCAACTTTCTCGTGTACTCTCGAACTTTAATCTTAGGCGACAAGACCGAAAAGAAGTATGGGTAGAAGTAAAAAGCTGCTACATTCGGTGAATACTCGTGAGGTCTAGCGACACGGCAAACGTGATTTTGTACGTGGTCTCTTCCTTCAGATAGTAAATGGAAATAGGACGCTTTTAGTCACATTCGATTTCGCAAGAATTTTCAAACTCAAAGCTTATTCTTTGGTTTCTGTACTTTGGACAACAACTAGTGCCAAGCTTAGGAGAAAACTGGTTACGAATTAGGCCACGCTTGATTTAGTGTTAAGTCTGATTGGTCGAGAAGAGAGTAGTTTTCCTCTAATTAGCTAGAGCATGTCACACGAGGTTTCACACGATTACTTTCGAGGACTGCTCACTATGAGGGTCCGTCCACACTACGCCGGAAGAATTAGAAAACGGAGGTTTCACTCTGAAAACGCATCAAATGTTTTCCGTCCACACTGCGCCAGAGGAATTTGAAAACGGAGGTTTCATTCTGAAAACGCATCAAATGTTTTCCGTCCACACTGCGCCAGAGGAATTTGAAAACGGAGGTTTCACTCTGAAAACGCATCAAATGTTTTCCGTCCACACTGCGCCAGAGGAATTTGAAAACGGAGGTTTCCCTCTGAAAACGCATCAAATGTTTTCCGTCCACACAACGCCGGAGGAATTGAAAAACGTAACAATCACTGTTCTTTTTGGATTTGTGTTTGAGGAAAACTCGGGCAGGGAAATCGTGACGCCATCATTTTCGAAAAGTTCCGTTTTCCAATTTTTTTTTTTCCGTCCACGCGTTAACGAAAAGCCGGCGTTTTCAAATTCCTCCGATTTGAAGAGCGTTTTCGTGACGGATTTGTGTGGACAGTAGGCCTAACCTTAGAAATACATGTAACTAAAGCTGTGTTTTCAAATTACTACGGAGTAGTGTGGACGGGGCCTGAAAGTCGTTTCACACTGAAGCAGTATGCATTTTTTGTTTTGTTTTTTGTTAGGATGCCCGTTCTCTATGAGCGGTTGGGAATCCCCGGCCGAGTTCTGTCGTCGTTATTTTTCCTTTGTTTGTCTCTGGGTGGTGTAAGCTCACTCGTAGCTATGATAGAGCTACCGGTGCATACGCTGGAAGAAATGCGAGGTGTGTTGGTCTGTGTTATTCTCTAAAAGCCGACACACACTGGGGGACATGCTGCGGGAACGTGAAGCGGGGACAGCGCCGTTCATGTGTACGCATGCGCATAGCACACATGCTGCAGGCACAGTACTCAAGCTGGTGCGAACAAAGCGGATATTGGTTCATTTCTGCGGTAGCAGGGACAGAGGGTCTGGAAGGGGGGTCCTGATCCCGCATTCCCGCTCATTTTTCACGAGAATCCCGCATCCCGCACGTTCTTCATCAGTATTCCGAATCCGGTTTTTTTCTTTCCCAGAAAAATACATTAAAAAGTCTAATTTCTACAAAAGCTAATAAATGTAAGATGTAGGTTGGCCCTTTCGATTGATATTTTGAATTTACGCGTCAGTATGATGAAAGAGCACGATATGACAACGTGATCTGTCGCCGCGATGGTTTTCGGACGTCTGGGTTGTCATCTGTAAGAGTTTGAATAACTGTTAGGCAAGCTGTTCAAAAATCCCCTCGAGATTACAATAAATATGAACCTGTGAAGAGACTGAAGAGCTTGAGCAATTGAGTCAATTGAGCATCGAGTAAATAGCTGGTATGCTATGACACCACGTGCACTTTTCTGTCATCTGGTTGAAACAAAATACTCTCTGACAGTTTCAATTAGTTAACTATTAAGACCTATTAACCAGAACTCTATAGGGTCTGTATACAGTAGTTTGGTTTGAAAGGAGACACCACTTAGCGCTCGCCTGGTTGATTCGTTTTGGCCGCTAGAACCAAAGAACGTTTATTTGGGTCGCGACGATTTCCCGAATTCCCGACAGACAGACAAAAAAAAAATCCCGCATCCCGTACCCAAATTTTGGCGAGTCCCGCTTCCCGGGGAGCAGTCAAATCCCGGATCCCGTCAATATATTTATCGTTTTCCCGATTCTCGCACCGTATTTTGGTCAAATCCCGAATCCCGAAAATACCCGTTCAGACCCTCGGGACAGTTTGCAAGAGCAGTGCACTCGATGAGATACTGATCATGCAGGTCATTTTTCTCCCCCTCTTCCTGACGCACGGATTTAAACCAGCTTAATTTCATGCAACATGTTGCGGAGACAAAATTTTGTCGCTACAACGTATGTGCCTGCTTCATGTTCCCTCGCCACATGTCCCCTAGTATAGTGTGCGCCGAGTCAAGGCTGGTTTTCATTAGCGCACAATCATAAGCAACACAAAGGAGACACAGTAAGATGTTGCTAACTAGAACCTTTTGTGACGAAAATTTCCTTTCAGAAGAAGTTACATGACAGCTCCTTATTTCGTCTGCGCGTATTTTGCTTATGCTTATGCGCTTTCGAAAGCCGGCTGCTTTAACAGCTACAACTAAATGTACACGTTTGTTTGGTAGGGCAAGAATGCACATATCTAGGATTTGGTCAGGACCGAATATCTGACTTTTCACGGATATTTGTTTGCAGAATAAATGTTTACTTTCTGTCTTCGTTCTTTTCAGTTCCTCGAAAGTTTGGCCTCCCTCTAGTGGTTGTTGTGTTGTTCTGTCTTGGTATACCATCAGCGCTGGATTTGAACATTCTAGTCAATCAGGTCAGAAGTTCTGTAATATTAATATTATAATTCCTCTTTTATTACAGTGAGTAACGAGGACAGCTTTGGTCCTGACAGGTAGCCGGGAATTCCGCGTGTTTCCGTATTATTGATAACCCCACGGGCAACCTACCCATGGCAGGGAGAGGGTTTTCGTTTTGTTGTATTCATTTTTAGTGTATATATTAACTGTGTGTTGAGTGTAGGAGGGGGTTAGATCGCAATTAGGACGCTAGTTCTGTTTCTTTCCCCCTTCACATCCCGTACTATTTTGAATTTATTTGCCTATTTGAAGTTAGTTGTTTGTCCATTTGAATTTATTTGTTCTTGTATTTTGCTGATGAACTCATTAACTTAACTAAACTACACTAATAAGAGATGCATGGGAAGATAATATACAAGAAATATTAACTACTTATTAACCGAGAGTGAGGTCTCTACGGGAAAATCTCAAACCTAGACCTTACCGTATTGACCGAGCGTTAGCGACGTCAAATCGGCAAGGCCAAGGTTTGAGATTCTCGCGTTAAAACCTAACGTTCGAGGTTAATATGTTGTTCATTATATGGCTATTTGCTTTGGTTTTGCAGGCCCGTAATCGGCCCGTAGGCATTGCGGGATAATAATGCTCTACAGTTGGCCAATCAGAGCGCGCGTTATATCGGCTACAAACACAAACCATATAACTTCTTTTTCGTAGGACTTTGTGTGGGCTTTTGGTCAAGTCCTTGCTGGGGTAGTTTTAATATCTTTACCAATTCGTTATGGAGCGTCAAAATTCCGTGATGAGTTAGTAAATCAGGTATGTTGTTAGAAGTTGTCCCGTATGTATTTGTGTCATTTATCCTCAGCAGTTTCGTTCGTCTTCTTGCCGTCAGTCCAAAACCCAAATGTTTGGTCGAGAAGACGGCAACATTTTAGCTCGCATTTTCGCATGCTCGTACCATTTCTGATTGGACAATAAGAATTAGAAACTCTTTGAGTATACTTCGGAAAGTTTTCGGGTTTACTTCGGCAACTCTTCGGGTATCCTTACTCAAACAGTTTACAACTGAATGGCTCATTCTTTTGCAGTGGATTGTGTACTTTATCGCGTTTGAATGAAAAGATCGCTAACATTGTTGCTAATCACTGCTAACTGATTTGACGGAAACTGATATTTTTTCGTGTAACTGCTTTGTGTCTTTTAGTTTGGATTAGATGACTGGAAACTTCCACGAATTTGGGATTTCCTTGTTAAGTATGCTTACTGTTTTTTTTTTTCTTACTTTACATTTTGTTGATTTATTGTCTTGACTGACTGATATCGATAGCCAACCATCTGTGCCGCTACGAAAGATATTAAGTGTCACGAAATGTATTGGATTATAGCAATATGCCAATGATATTTGAAAACACTGTGAAGGGTATTTTAAATTGAAGTCAAATCTTATTATATGTAAAGCGTTTAAGATGGTGTAGTCATTGTGCAATTTTCGACGGCGTGAAATTTGACAAGAAACGGCCTGCAGTTTTGATGGTGCAGTGTTAAATATTGTTGAACCAAAATGAACCTCATAATTGTAAAATTATCCTGTTTCTTTTCAGCTTTATCGATCCTGTTATAGCAGTCGCGTTATTAGTATCGTTCGTAATTGACACCGTTCAAGATGAATCAAATAAGTGGTATACGTTTGTAAGAGAGTCTTTAATGGCATGTCTTGTCGAGGTAAGCACATGGACATACGATAACAAAACAATTCTGTATCTAGACGAACCTATGTCTCTCTTAGAGCGGTTTTCTATCGAATATCGTAAACTAACACAGAAGTAGCCCCTCTGGCCAATCACAAAAGACATAGACAATCCAATGAACCAATCAAAACTCGAAGTAAAGACATGCAGCTTATGCAAAGCGCGGGAAAACGCGTCCGAACGAAACGCGATTGGTTTCAACCCCTGAGACTTTCAGGACAAACTTCTATATTTGGTGGTGGCTTTCAAAAACTGGAAATTTCTGGGTGGCAAAAGCACTGATGAGCTCCTACATTCTTTGTAAAATTTTGCGTTTTTAAACCCGCGTCACACAAAGAGTATTCAATACATTGCGCTCAAACTCCTTGGAACAGCTAATCGTGCTGTGCCCTTTCAATATTCAGCACTGATGTTTTTGTAGCTCCATTACAAACTGTATCACTTATGCGTATGTGGCAATATTGTAAACAGATTCTCGTGTATAACACGGCAGAGCTTATCTTGTCCTGGTTTGTGTTTTTCAGTGGCTTGTTGTGTTGCTGGTGCTGCTAGTAATGAACGCCTTGTGGATGTGTCGTCGTCGATCTCGAAGAAGAATTCATAGAATTTCAAGTATTCGTGACGCACAGCGTGAAGTTTACAGTAACGAAGAAAGATAGTGATTGTAATAATAACTAGATTATTTTTATCAGAAAGTTACTTATAGCATGGCTTTAGATAACGTATTAGATTTGGATTTTTAATTTATTTGCGTAACTTATAGAAAGAAAGGTCTGTGTTCGAGCCCAGTCCCAGTGGCCCATCAGGCCGGCGCATATCTCCAGAGTCCGTAGCATGAAGCGACTAGGAGTATTTCTACTCCCCCCTGGATGGGGTGTTAGTCCATCGCAGGGTTATCCCCGAGCATTAAGTTCGCCGGTACCCCTTTATACACCTTGGTGGAAAGAGGCACTGTGAGAGTAGTGTCTTTCACAAGAACACAACACAATGTCTCCGGCAAGGGCTCGAAGCCGGCCGGACCGCTCGATCCGGAGTTCAGCGCGCGCCCATGCGGGCACCACTGGGTAACATGGGATTTTATTTTAGTTCAGAATGTTGAAAATAACATGAGCAATACAGTACTGAGATGTATTGAGACGCACTATTTTGAAAAATTATGATATATGATCTAAGAGAAATTTTGACTTCCTTAAACTTGTTACATAAACTACATTTAAGGTGGCCGAACACAGTTTTCAAGAGCCTATGACTAATTCACCATTACTTTTAAGCTATTTATGCTTTGGCGCCCGTTTTTTGCAAGAGTCAAGGTTAACCACAGAAAAGTTTATTCTCGCATTTTGGTTAAGGTGTGTGCTGTTGCCATGGCAACGGGGCTGGTTAAAAACAAGGCTTAAAAAATGTTTTTTGTTTATTTAAAAA